AGCAGGAAGGCGGAACAGCGTTCTGTGTTGAGACCAGCAATAAAATTGGGGCTGGGGGGCTGGAGACGGACCAGCCACTCATCCTGTTTCCTGGCATCTCATCCCGACCGCATTTGGTAAAAGCATCGGACTAAAAGACCGGGACAAGGTGTCTGTCCCTGCTGACAGGCCGGGTGACCTGGCTGAGTGGCAGCAGCCGGGGCGCGACTTCAAACGTGCACACACGCGCCGGCCCCTAGCACAGCGGTTGAGCCCTGTGCACTGAGAGCCAGGTCCCACATAGCTGAAGGCAGTTCAAATCCCTGCCCGGCTACTTAAAAAACACGTCATGTGTGTTTGCGCGTGTGTGTGCGAGTGTGCCCAAAACTCTGACGGGGGGGGGGAGTGGGGAGAGAGGGCTGGGTTTCTCTACCCGGGCAATGGGAAGTCAGCGCACACGTGACTTGCAGGGGTCCACCCACGGTGCCAGGGGTGCCCGTGTCAAAAAGGCACGTGTGCGGACTCTGCTGGGGTGAGGAGCCTCTGCTCAGAGCCAGGGCTGTGGGGCGCGCCATGCCCTCGTGACGGCTGTGACCGACCCCACCATGTGGGCACGGGGACCGGGCCGGGGGACGGGCGGCCGCCCTGTACCTGTCTGAGGGCCAGCAGGTGCTGCTCCTGCTGCTGCAGGTTCCACTGGCTCTGCTGGATCAGCTCGTCCATGGACGGGGTGCCCTGGGTCGGCGGGATGGGCGCGGCCGGGGCCAGCGGGGGCTGAAGAAGGCGGCAGGGCTGCGGCCGGCTCCAGCTCGGGCGCCTGCTGTTTGCAGATAACTGGCGAGACAGGAGGGGAGAGGGCCTCTGTGAGACAGCCCAGGTGGCCCTGCAGGGCATCTCTAGGCCAAAGGGGACCCCCCAGTCGACTCGTGATCCCTAGAAGATTCTCTGCAGTCACTCCCCCGAGCCTGTCCACCTCCCCCACTCACAGCTCGCCTCCCCAGGACAGCTCCCGTCCCCCAACCTCCTCAGCAGCGATTCCTAACTTCTGTCACTGTCCCCTCACCTAGCCGGTCACTTCCCAGACACCACGGCCGCTGGACCTCTGGATATGCAGGTACAGGCCTCCATCGCACGGGGGCCCTGGCTCTGCACCCCTCTGCGCCCCCTCCCCCAGCCTCCCGCCACTCTCCGGCTACAGCGAACACCCTCACCCAGAGCCGTGGTGCATGCCACGCCCGAGCCGTTCCCACGTCAGCGGGGCCGGGCTGCTGCCGAGAAACACCCTGAGGGTGCTATGCACCCCAACCTACCCAGCAGCAAGCTCTAACCTCTGTCCCTCCAGTCCCTCCATTCACGTTTCAGACACAGTGGCCACTGGGCTATGGACACGGCCCAGCTGTGGTCCCAACGCCCAGGACTGGTCCTCCTTCTATGGAGCCTCTTCCTCTCCAGCCCTGGAGCAAAGGGACTCGCCTGTGTGGCCAGGTCCTAGAAGGGGCCATGCTCCTAAGGAGGCCCCACAGAGGCCTGTCCCCCACCCTGGCCTCTGGGCACTGATTGAATGTGACCCTGAGTTCCACCCTAGGGAATAGGCCTCTGGACAGAGTTGGAGAAAGATGGTGAGTGGAGAGGAGGAGTCACCCAGGGCCCAGTGCTGGGCACCCAGTGACTGCTTGGGGCAGGCCCTTCAGGTACACGTAGCCAAGGGTGCCTGACGGATGACCACCGCTTGCACTCTGATCCCCCCCACCTACCCTCCTAGAGTCATGGCTTCATGAAATCTCTCTCTCTCTCATTTCTTCTATTGCCCCTCTTTAAAAAAATTATTTATTGATTTCATTCTATTTGTTATTATTATTTTTTAATTTGACCAGACAGAGACAGAAAGAGTGAGACAGGGAAAGTGAGAAATCAAGCCGCCAAGCCCGGGACTTGAACTGCAGTTGGTCACGTGGGAATCCAGCATCGTTAACCACCACGCCACCTGCCGGTACCCCCATTGCCCGTTTTTACGACTTCTCCCCAAATCGTCTAAACACACCTGAGTCCTCTGCTTGAAATCTCCCCCTTGGGCCAGGCGATGACGCGGTAGTTAAGGCAGCCGGATCCCACATGGATGACCACACGGCTCGGTCCCAGACCCTGCCGTTTGAAAAACACGCCAGTGCATGTGTGTGGGTGCCTGAAAGTCCTGAGAGGAGACTGGAGGAGAAGGGACTGTAACGTGCCGCCTCCTCCCACCCCAACTCCAGCCAGAACACGCGCCCTATAGCAAACCAAAAACAGACAGGAGACCAGCAGATGGCATAGCGCTTACGTCACTGGACTCTCACATGGCCGACCGCAGTTCGAGTCCTAGACTCGGTGGCTTGAAACTCACATGAGGCACGTGTGCGTGGGTGCCCAAGATCCTGGAGCGGCTTGAAACTCACATGAGACACGTGTGCGTGGGTGCCCAAGATCCTGGGAAGAGAAGGGACTGCTTGGGGCCACCCCTCCAAGGGGTGATTTCTCACTCCCCCCCCCAACTCTGTCTCCGGCCTGTGCATGCACCCTATGGCAAACACCTCTTAAAAACCAAACCAAACCAAACCAAACCAAACCTCCTTAAGCCCCACACCCCCTTTCTCAACTCTATTAAGCACCACTTATCTTCAACTCTTCTTTGTCTTTCTATCTCAGCCCATGTGGCCTGACCTCTGCTGCCCACCCACCGTGCCCAGCCCCCAAGGCCTCAGGGGGGCATCTATTAGCGTTTTTTTTTTTTTGGTGAGACTGGGGCCTTTATTTGTCAGAACAGAGTGTCTAGAAGCTGAGGTGGAGCATGCCTTTGTGCTGGCTCCCCTTTGCCCTCTCCTAGGAGTTCAGGACTCAGCCCAGGAGAGAGAAGTGTCCAGGCAGGGACTGGAACCACGGTCAACTACATAGGGGTCCAGCAACACAGCCATTACACCAACTGCTGGTCCCTCTTTCTTTTCCTTTTTTAAGAGAGATTTTTACTATACAGTGCATGTGCTTGCTGAAGAGACAGAGACAGAGAGACAGAAAGGAAGAAATTACCCCCCCCCAAGGAATGACTACACCACAATCCTTTCTCTCCCATTCTCCTCTTGGGATTTTGGGCACGTACACACCGTATGTGTTAAGCCGCAGGCCTGGGACTCGAACCTCAGTCAAGTCCATGGGAGTCCAGCGATCTAACCATTACACCATCTGCTGGTCTCATTTCTTTTGTAAGATGTTTGCTACAGGGCATGTATGCTCACCAGAGGAAGACACAGAGAGAGAAAGAAAGCACCCCCTTCCAAGAGGACACGAACACACTGTAATCCCTTCTCCATTCTCCTATCAGGGTTTTGGGTGTGAGCACGGCACGGCACACACACACACGCACACACGCACACACACAACTGGAGGAGAAGGGACTGCAGCATGGCCATCTCCCCCGGAGGGTGATTTCTTGCTTTCTGTCTCTCTGGCGAGTGCACACACCCTATAGCAAAAACCTCTCCCCCCCCCACACACACACACACAAAGAATTATTTAATTAATTTATTTATTTAAATTTGACCAGAGAGGAAAAAGTGAGAGAGAGCGACAGAGACGGAAAGTGAGAAAGCCAGCCACCAGGTCCAGGACTTGAACCATAGTTAGCCATGTGGGAGTCCAGCACCCTTAGCCACCATGCCACCTCCCGGCCCTTCCACACACAGTCTACGTTTCCAGCAGCCAGGTCTGGGACTTGAACTGTGTAGCTGGTCATGTAGGATCCAGCTTCCTTAACCACCAGATTCTGGCTGGCCTTACAAACTTTTTACTGAACACCTACTGTGTGCTGTCTATCACAGAACAACGCTGACCTCAACAAGGCCCATTTGGCCTCAGTGGACAGAAACCATTCACCTTTCAACATCTATCTACTTACCAAGCGAAATTATTCATTTCAACAATGTATCTAGGATGGAAGATTTGCTACAGAACAAGACAGCCATGCACTCTGCCTACCTGGTGACTACTATGGTTATCTAAAAGCCAAGCACTACAGCCTAACTCCACCTTCAACTCTTTTTTTTTTTTTTCCTGGAGGTTTTTCTATAGGGTGCGTGCATCTATAGGGTGCGTGCACTGGCCACAAAAACAGAGAGAGACAGAGAGACAGAAAGCGAGAAATCACCCCCCAGGGGGGATGGCCACGCCACAATCCCTTCTCCTCCATTCTCCTCTCAGGATCTTGGGCATGCATGCACACGCACCCGGCGGGAGTTTAAGCCCCCGGGGTCCGGGACTCGAACCGCGGTCAATTACATGGGAATCCAGCGACATAGCCATTACGCTAACTGCTGGTCCCCTCACCTTCAACTCTTTGTTTGTTCGTTTATTTATTTATTTTAATTTGACCAGAGAATAAAAGCAGGAGAGAAAAAGAGAGAGAGAGAGAGAGAGAGAAAGCAAGCCGCCAGGTCCAGGACTCGAACCATGGTCAGTCATGTGGGAGTCCTGTGCCCTTAACCACCATGCCACCTGCTGGCCTTGCCACCCTCAACTTTTTGAGCAAGCCTGGAATCCTGTTGCACAACCAAATGAATGTCTGCCAATATTTGCTGAAGACTAAAACCCAGAGATTCTTTTAGATCTGGAATTCAGACATCTGGGATGCAGAAAGTCCTTGCTGGACCCTCGGCAAGCCTGGAAAAGGGGCTGGACAGCGCCCGATCCATGGGTTCCTTCCAATCCGTCCCCTATCCCTCCTTCTCCCAGAAAACAATTCGTCACTTGGACTGATCAGTGTCAACACATCTGCAAAACGATGGGGGAATCCCTGATCCGGAACCAAAAGAGATCAATAACATCGTTCTCCATGACACGCGGACCCAGCGAATGCATGACCCGGTCGGATCACTGTTTTACAAAGAAAATATGCAGCCGAAAAGCAAGTGGTTTACAGCAGAGCCTGGACTGGAATCCGAGAAAAGAATCGCGCGAGGGGACAGGCCCGAGAACTAGAAGGGACTCACGCTGCTGCTGCTCCAACGCCAGTTTGTACTTGTAGTAACTGTAGAATTCGCCTCCGAACAGGAAAGAGAATTTGGGGTTGTCCTTCTGCTTCTCCATCGTCATCTTCTCAAACTCCGGCCCGTTCCGAGCCACGAACTGAGCCAGCTTGTCGATGACATTTCGAAGCTCCTGATCTGCAGGACGGAGAAAAGGCCACGCGGGGCGTCAGCGAGGACCGCCCAAATCCGGGGGCTCTAGCGTCCCAGCTCCAGTCCTCCAGACCCGGGTCCCTAGGGGTTGGGCTCCAAAGAGGCCGCCCTTGTACGGGTCCCGAGAGGGGCCACACACTCTGCGGGAATGCGGGGACCCACGGGAGAGGCCGCAGGCGAAGCCGCGAGGCCGGGCCCCGCCCCCTCCCCGGCCCGAAG